TAGAGCTGCGCGAGGGCGATGTATACACACATTCCCGAGGTCAGACGCCGACGAGCGCTCACCGGGACCGGGACAGCTGCCACGACCAGACTCGCAAAGCAGGCATTTCAAGTCCAAATCTGAATCACACTTGCAGATTTGGAGCTTCAAAATTCAAAGAGACTCGCCGACAGGTCCCGGCATGCAACGCCCACACCACCATCCCGGCAGAATCCGCCGAAGCCGGCGGCACTGCCAGGGGTACGGCCGCCTTCCTCCCAAGGCTAATCCGGCAGAGCTCAGCAGGGCATTCCGAGCATTCTAAGAATCCGCTTGTTGGAGCTGGTAGAAGCTATCCAAGTCGAGATGGATGGTTGTGGGCTTGAGTGATTTGCGACCAATAGAAGACACAAGGAACCGATCACGATTGCGATGGAGTCTATTTCCAGAAGTTTGGGCATGCAGGGAAGGAAGTGTTGTCCGATTGAAGAACATTTCGCGGCCGTAGTGATCTTGAGCTATTCAACTGCCCAAGGGGCAGGTGGTGTGAGAGTCAGGATCGAAATCTGGTGTACCTTTAGCCTAGATCCCAGTGGCTCCACAGGCTCGCGGGGCGGAATGTGTGGCTCTCAGACAAGGCACCCACGGATTCGAACATTTATTGCAAGACAGCCCTGCGCCGTCGCGGTTCTCGATGCTACCCAAGGCAGGGACAGGGACAGCTACTGCTGAGCAAGTCTGGCCAGCTTCGGCGGACGGCCACTGCCTGCTCCCCAGCGCCAGTGTGCCAGCGCAGCAACAGCTGAGGGAATTCGCTTGCTACGGAGGATGAGAATCAATTGCTTCGGAAGTCGGATTGGTGCCCCAAGTTCGCAGGTAGGAATACATGCAAGGCCTGAATTAAAGCTGCGAGCGCTCAGGCCCAAGTGCTTGGCGCATGCCTTGACACTTGCTGTAAGCTTCTGGGGATGGTGTCGTAAATCATAAATCCTTCAGCCTCGTGCCTTCGCAGGGCGGAGGACTTATCGGGCCCGAGTCTCCTAATGCTTTGCATGCCCGGGCCCAAGATGTGCAAAGCGCTTTGGCTCAAGTCGTTGAAGGGGGAGCGTCTTCCCGGGATTTCGTCAGGACTCTCTTCATGGCACAGCTTTGTGTGTTGGAGTGTGTAGCTACATTTCCTGGGATTCTGGGCTTTCGGTATCCTCTCGGCAAACCTGTCGACAATGTTCTCTGGCACACATCACACACGCTGTTGCAATCTGCTGCATGTGAGCCCTCTATGTCATCTCAGACATGCGAGAAGGACGAGGAGAGACGGAGAGATTGTGACTGAACATGAAGACAAACAGGAACACGCGAGGGCCGAGCAGACAGCAAAAAAGAAGCACTGCGGAACCAATGACGGAAACAGACAAGGGCACACCACGTTGACAGTACAAGTGGAAGGAGAGTATGAGAAGAGAGTTCTGGCCCAATGCGGTCGTCAGTGCATCATTGCACTAGTAGATGCTAGATGAGCAGCCGTGGATGGCGTGGAACAGAGAGGGTATGACGCCAGCTGAGCTACAAGCTCCCTTGAGATCTAGCTACACGCACTGCGTTGGACCTTTACGTAATACTTTGCTGCGATTGAAAATTTCAGGGAGTCTGGTAACTCGCTTTCGTGACCTTGCATGTTCACACATGACATCGCCTGACGTGTCCGCGCCCTCCCGCACTTGCCTGCAGGTGCCCGGCGCACCAGGAGGGCTCAAGACACACAACGAAGAATCTCCACCACCCACGCGGCCAGGCACAGCAGGATTTAGAATCCCATCCGAGCCTCGAGAGGTCAAGTTTTGGAAACCAGGGCATCGAAGCCTCAGGCCCTCGTTTGAGAGAAGCTTCCTGGTCCTGAGAGGTACAGCTGCATCCCTGGCGTCTGTGCAGCATGCACGGGACCCCGGACCCGGGACCACGTGGCAGCTCTCAGGTAGCTTCCACTACGGCTACGACGTTACGGATCGCGGAATTTCGGGTTTGCAACACTTCTGTGGCATGATAGATCCCAGGACGAAGGTTTCAAAAGAGGAGGCCTGGAAATGTGCTTCGAAGGGGGACTCGCCGGGTTTCGAGCTTCGGGCCAAGACAGAAAAATGTTAGTGGCTGGGACGCTGTGCGCACTTGTCATGCCGAGAGCCTGAACGTGGCATCCGCTTTACTCGAGACTCTTGCGTGGGAAGCTACTCGGAGAGGTGCGGGGTTCAGGCTTCGAAGCACTGCTCCCATGCTGCGTTACATCAGCTCTTCAGTGGGCACACTCGTTTGTAGGCCCCACGAGCCTTACAAACTGCAGCAAGACGAGGAGGGGATCACATGGTCGTCCGTGGGAGTACCCTTTGCAGCAAGTTGGACAGTTCGACAAGGTCGCACATGAAAGACCTGTGTAGCAGATAGCGCGAACGAGCTTGGACCCTGCTGTAGTTTCATCTTCGAGTCATGGGAGATATCATTCTTATATCCTTCTTCAGGTTCCTGCTAGCAAGAAGCTGGCAGTGTCGAGTTCGGCCGTTGCTTTGCGCATGCCGAGGCATACCGCCGAGATCCGCAGCGCTACAGGCCACTGCCACCAATGTTGCTGACCTTGGTTTGTGATGTTTCCGTGGTAGAAGACAGATCATTGCAAGAGGAGCAGAAATACATAGAAGTTTCCTTCGCCACGTTGTCACAGCAAGACCTGGCACCATCACAGCAACAGTGCCACTCATTGATGCTTTGGTTCCTACTGGGCCTTCACCACCACTGCGGGCTTTGCCTTTTCTCTTGATAACTGTTGTTATTGTTGCTGTGATGTACACTAGGGTTAGTTAGTGGGAGAGGGAGGGAGTGGGAGCGGCAGCGAGAGTAGGAGTAGAAGTAGTAGTAGTCGTCGTCGTGGTGGTGGAGGTGGTGGTGGTGGTGGTGGTGGTGGTGGTGGTACTGCAGCCGCCAGCCTGCTCCTGTGACCCCCTCAGTTTCCCTTGCCCTTGCGACCCCCCCCCCTACTGCCCTTCTCAGCTGTTTCAGTGTTCGTCGGCACTGCTTTGCTGCAATGCTTTCCATAGGGTCTTGGATAAGAGGTTCCGTTAGAAAGGGTTTTCTGTTGCATGAGGCTTTCCCATGACATGATGTTTTTCTGTTAGGTAGGGCCTTGCTAGTAGATATGTTGTGTGTTAGATATGGCTGTCCTAGTAGATGGGTTTTCTGTTAGATACCGCTTTCTTCTAAGTGGTTTTCCGTTTGATAGGATTGTCTCATAAGACACTGGTTTTCCTGCTAGATAGGCTTTTCCTGTTAGGCAATGGTATGGTATGCAAGGAGTTCTCATTGAAAATTGTTTGGCTAGGCGGCTTGGCTTTACTAGTAGTTCTCGGCCCTGTTCTTGCAACGCAGTAGTAGTGGCTAGTAGTAGTAGTCGTCGTCGTCGTAGTTGTAGTCGTAGCAGTAGTGGCAGTAGTAGCAGTAGTGGTAGTTGTAGTAGCAGTTAGTAGGAGCCGCCAGGGTGGAGCTTCCAGGGCAGATGCCGGAGATCGCTACAGCTGATCCGCCCGGATCTAGGGCTGGTTGGTGAGGGTTCGGTGCTTGAAGGTCTGGAGAATCTGGGTTCAGTGTGGCACTTTTCTGCCTCGGCAGACTGCCAGGGATGGTTCGCAGTTTCGGGCCGTGGAACCCTTGTACGCTCGTCTTCATCCGGCCGACGTACACATCGCTGAGAGCACGTGGCTCCACACATAGAAGATCATAGAAGCTTTTAGAAGCAGCAGAGAGTTCCAAGTCTACTCAGCACCAGCTTCAGTCCTATCAGTTCGGCAACCGTGCTAGAAAGACTCAGCTGATCGAGCCGATAGCTAGTCTGAAAAGAGTTGCTTGTGAGTCTTCACAACTGCGGAATGCACGAGGCAGTAGATTTCACCTCCCTGGATTCATATTTCGTCCCACGGCTTAGGTCCCCGCCAGCAACGCAGCCTGCAGCGCTGGCTTTGCGTGTCAGGCCATTTGGGGCCGTGGCGCTGGGAATCGGAAAAAGCCTCTTGAAGGATCAGTCGGAAGAACGAGCCCCGAAGCAAAAAAGCTAGAAACTACGAAGCGTCCACACCACTCTCACGAACAGCTCGAAGCATTTCGAAGGCAACCATGCTGGCCAGTGTTTCACGGTTTCACTTCTTTGGTGACTATGCCATTGTCAAGCATCAAGACCCGAGCGTCAACGGCGAATCCTTGAAAGTGAGCCGAAGAGCCCGAAACATCTATAAAGTGAACCTCAGCCCAGCCTCGGGTTTGCCCAAAGAACCACAGACCGGGGACCAGCGCCCACGGCCACGGCCAATGGCGCGTGCAACGATCTCAGCTTTGGATTGGTGCAGAGCGTAACATGATGACTTCGAGGTTCGATGACTCTGACAGCTCCGAAGGTTCTCACGATTAATCCACCTTCGGGTCTCTTCTCGAAGACCCCCTTCAAAGCACGAACCTCCCTATCCTGAAGCCAGAGTGCCAAACGGCCGCAGCAGGCTTACCGAGCTACAAACATACCTGGCGTGTCCGAGCGTGAGCACCGAAACCGCCCCAGCCCCCATACTTTGCAGACCCAATCCCTGATTAGGTTAAGGCTCTCAGGGCTCTCGGCACTGTCTAAGGTTGCCCACAGCCAAGGCGCGGGGTCGCAAAAGGTCAACAACGTGGGACTGGTGCAAATTCGATCCGGAATTGCGAGATACTGGAATGACTGCAACAAGCGGACACACTTCGCCACACAACGCCATCGGGACATTTTGTTTATAACCTGGCTCCAGATCGGTTGGTGTAAAACCTTTGCATTCCGCTATTGTGTTTGGGTCTTGTGGGTCTCGATATTGGCCTGAAGCGCGAAGCAGCGCTGAAACAACACGAAAGCGGAGCGATACGGGATGTTTCTGGCAGAAAGAGTTTAGGACGAACCTCATATCAAGACAGCCTTAACATTGCATTGCCATTGAACTTATGGTTGGTCAATCGTGGAGAACTTGGTTTTTTGGACCGTGCCTACTTCCACGACTTCTTGAGATTCATGATACTTTCCTGTCGTGCTTCTTGCCGGTGCTGGCTTTGGGTCGCAGGCGACAAATGCCCGGCCAACCAGCTCCGGTGGTGACCCGGCGTTTGGGGTCCCAGTTCCTCTCACAGAATCTCTCCGTGATGTTCGTCTTGCAGTATCGACGCCTTGCCCAAACTGATGCCGATACTGTCCATGCAGCCCACCCCACTGTCAATCCGTCTCGGAGAAGGCTTCTTCCTATGATACGCATGTTTGGGTTTAGCTATGCAATTGAAACGTGAAGCAAACTGGAAGAGACGGCGCTGCCTTAGCCCGAGCCTGGCCCCAAGCTTCACACACATTCATACCCACAAGGGCCCTCGACACCTTCAAAACTCCATCCCCCTGTGCCTTGTTTTGCATTACACACCGAGGCTGCAGCCACTCTCGCTGTCGCTGACGCTGAAGAGCGGAAGTTCGGGGCTCAGCCGCTATCATTTAGTTGTAGTTGGGGCCCTCTTCTGTCACTCCATGGCAGTTGGATTTCACCTCCAGCCCCCAGAGCGCGGGCGCAGGCAGCAACCGAAGGACGCTGACATCTGCAGGCACGAGGGCCCGTTATTTCAAAGTTTGCCTCCAGTCCTGCTTCAGATAGTTTCAGAGCGAGATGAAGATGGCTAGCATGCTAAGCCCAAGCTAGTTTGAATCAGCGCAATGGGCGCAGGCCTTGCCTAGAAGCGGGACTGCTACAAGTAGCAGAGAATTTCGTAGCAGTGGGTCTGGCCGGTGCTGCGATGACTCCAGCTCGGTAAGTTTGGTAGTTCAGTGGCTTGTTCTAATTCGAACTCAGTTTGCGTTGAGATGGATTGTGGGGCATTGACTGTCAAAGAGAGCGAGGAAGAAGGAGAGACAGAGAAAGCTGGACAGATGCAGACTACAGTAGCGTGCGCGCCAGAAAGTAGTGCGCTACTTCCCCTGGATGTGTGGAAGAAGATGCCAACTAGGACGAGGCCAAAATCAAACAACTAGCAGTGATAAAAGTAAACACTCTGACCATCAACAACCTGAGATGAAAGCTGACGTACAAGGGAGAGCGAGAGAGAGAGAGAGAGAGAGAGAGCGAGAGAGAGAGAGAGAGAGAGGTGGGGCGAGCGAGGCATCGCCCTTCAAATCAAAAAAAGCTCATCCAACGATTGCACAACTCACCTCGGTCTTCGAAGACCATCTGCTCAAGGCGGACCACGGCCGGAAACTTCTGAGAAGGCCAAATCCAAAGCGGGTTCCAATGGCTTCAGGGTGCGGCTTCCTGGTCACAAAATTGCAGGTTGCCTCTTAAACTAACAGCGGCTTGGTTTCGAGGCTGGAGTTTTCTGGGTGCAGCTTTCTGGCAGTCCTTCGCCAAACGGAACGCAAGCTCTAACAAATAGTATTGAGAAATGCTATTTAGTGTCAAAACAACCGATCAACAAAATGAACCTATATCTTTCTTGTTCTGATGGTACAAGCATCTTGACTTTCTCCGCTGCTGCAAATTGGCCGCCTGGATTTGCCGCAGCCGTTTTGCCTAGAACACTCGGCAGCAAGAATCTGCCCGCTGTGGTATGACGCTCGTTCGCAGTATTTTGCACAATTTTGCACAAGTGCAGCGCAATGCGCTGACCGAGCTGTTCAACCGATTTTGGACAAGCCGGCATATCACCCTTCACCGGGCACGCCCGGGTGGCCCAACAGCCAAGGAGTCGCCAGGCCCGACACTTCCCAGGTCGGCTGCCAGGGCTTTGAGACGTGGCCAAGTAGACATGAAACTCGCACGTTTCAGCATCCCTTGGGGTTGCACCACTAGTTGCTCACTTGTTGCCCTTGATGTATGGCCTGTAGAGTTGAAAGCACTTCTTTCGCACTGCTGCTGTCCACTGAGCTTTCTGGCCTTGTCGTCAATGCACGAGACACATCGCTCAGGCTTTGTTCAAGCTTGTTTGCATGGGGAAGGTTTGAGTTTTCTTCTAGCTCCCCTGCTTTTGAGCCAGCTCCATCAACGCCCCTCGCAGCCACTTCCACATACTTGGCTCAGCAGCTTCGGTCTTCGGTTGAGAGCACAGCACCCTAGAGGGTAAAGGGACTGACCTGACAGTAATTGGCGAGGCACAGTCCACAGACTTCTTCAGTGCTTCAGTGCCGGGTGAACCATGAAACCATCTACTGGCACGCACACTGCAAAGTTGCAACACTTCGAGAGAGGCAGCAGGGTGTGTGTGTTATGCAAACGGAGGTTTCACCAACTTGGCTCCAAGACATTCCAAGACCAAGCAGCTCAACTCGTGCACCTCGAGTGTCTCCGCCTCTCTGCCATGGAGCAGCCAAGCCAGGAGCAGCGACATGCTTGCGGTTGCGGCATAGCCTATGAAGCAGTTTGTCCGAGCGTGCTCGAAGCCACCCCCACTTCAAACTCCCCTCGAAGCTGCTGTTCCAGATCGAATCTAGGCTCTTTCCTCGGGATGTTCTCCTTGAAAACATGGCCATCACTTCGCCCTTGAGATGGCCAGCTTCTGGCAGTAGTCCGAACGCCTAAGAAGTGAAGTTTGCAATTGGAGCTAGGCATGTGTCGGACCTGCAGGTTCGCCGTGTTTTCCTGCTGCGCCATGGGGAGGCTGAGCACAACGTCTCAGACGAGGACCATGTCCGCCTCGTGTCATTTCTCTGCGAGCCGAGTGCAAGCATGGACGAAAACTCCCGGTTGAAATCTTGCAGTTGCTGACATCGGAGATCGTTCAGCTTTACATTGTTACATATGAAGCAAGTGGGAAGTTGCTTCCTCATGGAGTTTGTCATTTCCGCACAGTGAGACAAGTATGGTGCAAGGTTTAATGAGGCCAGAATCCCACAGACACGTTGGGGACGGGAGGCGTACAATCGAATCATTGCCCGGTGAAGTTTGAATACCCGGTGCATGTGTTGGCTTCCAAAGGTACGACCCTTGCGTCTCTGGCCATGTGAAATCCCAAATCGGGTAAAACATGGTATGTTCAAGCTGTCGTGCGTGCAGCTTAGACATTCTCAAGTGCCATTGCCTTGAACCTCCATAGCAAAACCTATAGGAATTTCAACCGAAAATCCCGACAAAATTGTGACACTAGAAGCTAAACGAGCGGCAAAAACAAATCCAGTCGTCCTTTCGCAGATTGTCTTGATCTGAGTTGCATGTCGGCATGAACCGCAGTCTGGGGCCCGGTAATGTCCACGAAGAAGATTACTTTGTACTTGAGGGTGCTGCGGAACCAATGGACAAGGACATTAGGATGTACTAGGATGCGTCAGCTGTTTATATTTATTTGGACAGGCAGGCGGGAAGGCAGTGCAAACGACTACAGCTCAGCGATGGTGCGCGATCAGATTTTTCATTCATGGCGAAGTTGCGTGCTGGGTAAGCAGCGAACGTGTCACCCGGCGCAGGTTATGACACCGACACCCTGCCGACACCAAGGGTCCGCGACAACACCCCGGAAATTGTGGAAAGAAATCTCCCGTTCTTGTGATCTAGATTCATTGTCGCGACATCTTCTGCTGAATCTGCCTTCGAGGTCTTGGTTCGTGAGGACCGGTGACTAGGCCTTGTAGCGGCTTCGCCCCGCAGGATGTGCCAGATGCGCCCTTGACAGCTCGGGGGCGTGGCCAAGCAAACGTGCCTGGCTCAGTTCGTAGACTTTGTTGACTTTTGCTTGGTGCAATAGTGCTGATAAGCCAACCAAACAAGTCCGGACTGATGATTCCAGCTTCGATGCTACTGCTACCACTACTCCTAGTGGTAGTGGTAGTAGGAGGAGGAGCAGGAGGAGGAGACCCGATTTTGATCCAGGCACGAGAATGATTGACAGTTGCTTAAGTCTTAAGGCTTCCCTCCGCCCGGTTCAAACCGGACCAAGAGCGCACAAAGGAACCTCCCGCGTCCGTCCCAAACCGTTGACACGGCTTCTTAGACCGTTCTTCGGCTTCGCCTTCGGGGTCGGGGTAGTAGCCGCCGCCGCAGTTGTAGCGGTAGTCGCCGACGAAGGAGCCTTTCTCGAGTCACCTCCAAACTGTTCTAGCTCCGCCAAAGAGTGCTGCAAGAGCCTGATGACATTCCCTTGGCTCGTTCCCGGCACACTGTACTACCACCACCACTTCCACTACGACTACCACTACCACCGCCCTGGTCTTGTAGAACTGGTAATATGAACTCAGACACACATGCACGCGCAGACTCAGCATTGAACACTGGGATGATTGCAATGGCTTCCGCTGTACTAGTTTGGTCTTAGAAGCCAATATTAAGAGGTCGTCGCAGTGGTCTAGTAGTCTCTTGTGCCAATGCCTGTGGAGCTGTATGGAGTTGTAGTCGAACCAAAGCAGCGACAAAAAGCAGCAATCCCACGTCGGGATGGGAGTCATCCTGCAGCTGTCTTCCAACTGCCCTGAGCTCCCTCTAGAATCGCTGTTGCACTTTCAGTTGGAGCACTGTTCCGGCTGCGTTGGCAGCACTCAAGCAGAGGCCTGGCGAGACAGGATGGAGGAGTACGATTTTGCACCTGTGACCGAAGCAGGTTGGCCGAGGATTTGCAGGTACATGGCGGGCTCTAGGCACAGTCGCAACAGAAAATGTAAAGTGCTAAGGTTCGTCAATGGGTTGCAGCGGAAAGATGGAATTTTGATTGGTAAATTATTCATCGTGTTTCCGACGCGGCGGCAACGCTTGAACATGTCCGACTTTGTGTGCAGAAGATGATTACAGTTCAGACGAGGAAGTTGTTCTTCTCTCGCCTCTCACCCGGGCCATTCAGACGGCGTGCTATGCCTTCCAGGCCGGATCTAGGGCAGCGGCACCTGATATGCAGCGACTGGCCGCTAGACATAACCGGAAAGCTGGGCCCGAATGTGAAGTCAAGGCCCAACATCCCGGCAGCGCAAAGCCAACCCCTTGAGAGCGAGCTGCGAGACGGCCCAGCGTCCTCACCGAGAGCTCCTTTCTTACACGAGTTGATGCGAATCTCTAACGTCCCCGACGAGCAAGATGAGGATGTCTTCACGTCGCAACATAACGACAGAGGGTTCATGTGCCACCGCACAGCAGCAGCTGGAGCGCATGAGTGCTCAGGAGGAGGAGGACGTCCCCTTAGTCGTAGTCCGTTCAGCCCGTGAACTTTGGTGGGAGGATGTTGCCAACCAGCCGCCGCTTTTCTGCAGCTACATCGCAAGGAACAAGGAATCAGCAAGTTCCTCCATCTGGTTTCAAGGAGTGCCTTCTCCTCATCCTACTACTCCAACTCTCTCTGTAGCAGTACTACTACTTGTAGTCATCGCCGTCGTCGTCGTAGTAGGAGTCATCGTCGGAGCAGTGGCAGTGGTGGTCGCAGTAGAAGTAGCAGAAGTACCAGTTACAGTAGCTGGGTAGTAGTAGTCGTCGTCGTAGTCGTTGTTGTCGTAGTCGCACTAGCGTAAGCAGAAGTTTTAGTTATCATGGTGGTAGCAGCAGTCGTAGTAGTCGTCGTGGTCGTGGTGGTGGTGATGGTGCTGGTGGTGGTGGTGAAGAGAGTGGCCGATGCCACTAACGAAGGAAAGACAGCAAGAGCAAGTTAGGCTTAGCTACTTGATCCCAACACCCCAACCAAGCAGTCCGGGCTCGGGTCGCACGACCCGGCCAATGTACCAAGGGCTTACCAAGCTGCCTGAGCTGCTAGAGCTCAGGCTCCGCGGTTTGGTTACCTTTAGGGGGCGAACACCCAACGGCGGGGTGCCCGCTTGACTGGCAAAGCAGCTGCGGCAGTACGAAGCTAACTCACCAAGCTCGCAAGGCTACGGAACTACGATCCTTTGTCTTCGGTATTTGCCGTATTTTCCCATTGTCCTACCATTGTTGGTGCGTGAAAAATATACTTCTCGACTTTGCAACTCGAGCTTGGGATATCGAAGGTTGGGGGTGGCGGCCAGGGGACGATAACGACATCCAAGCTCGCACACACTACGACTTTAAAGGCATCTGACCTGCATCTCAGGGGCCCCCTGGAGTCAGTGTACAAGAGGTTGGAGCAGCTGCCGCGTGGGCACGAGGCACACAAGGTTCAACTCCAGAAAATTTCCGGGCTTCACAGCGTGCAGGCAAGATCAAAGTTAGGATTAGGCAAACACTTTTAAGATGCTTAGCCGCTCGAGCTTCATCTGATGTTCGAGCGATTATGCCCGTGACCATTACAAGCTTGGCTCAAGCTAGCAATAATCCAAGGCCAAGGCGGTTGGCTCAGGCTGCTAATATTGGCAATCCGGCAATGCCAGGTACAAGCCCTGGAAGCTGCTTTGAGCACCAAAGATGCAGGGACGGAGGCTGGAGCATTTTGAGCAAGGTTATCGAAGCATCCTATCCTGAAACGAACTGTATGCTCTAACAAAGCTCAGGTTTCCAATTGTATTTGTTATGATAGCCAATCCATCATTCATTTGCCACAGTTCTGCCTCTAGCTGCAGGGGCAGTTGTAAGTTATTCAGCCTTATCCAAACTACTACAGAGTTGTCAACCCTAGCACCTGCACAGGCTGAGAGCATTCGCCACTTCCGGACGGTGCTGGCCAAACGTCCAGAAAAAACCATTGCGGTGGTGACACACTGGGGAGTCGCATGCTCGATTCATCGTGATTCAGCTTGCTCCAGTTCACTGGGACTTTGATCTGGATGAGTCTGGATGAGGGTAGGACCACAGAAGGCCGGCTTTGCGATCTGTCAAGGTAATCAACGCCCTTTGTCGTCAAAGCGCCGACAACTGCGAGATGATGGAATGCTTCCTGGTTCAAGTTGAAATCCGGGGCAACCGTGGTAGCCAACAGTTTTTGGATCCATGGACAGGAATGCCGCCCTCAATCACCGGCCCAGCAGCCCACCCGCCTGTGTGCATAGACTTTCTTTGGGTTCACCATTGAGGCCTCAGGCGGAAGGTTCCGAATACGCATTCTGCAGGGATTCCACTTCGACGTTTCCATGGCAGAAGCTGAGGCCTTTGCGATGGGAAGGGCGACCTCACCTTTGTCCGACAATTGGCCCAATTGGCACGGACAAGTCGATTGAGCACTCCTGTGTCTCCATCTCCCTCTCTTGCTCGCTGCAATGCTGCTCATGCCTGTCATTGGCGAATGCTGGGATGTGCTGCCGAATCAAAGGACAGTTCGGAAGGGTCTACGAGTCTAGCATTCTTGCGCAAGCATGAGAAACACCCTCGTGGGTACAGCATGGTTCGTCCCTAAGCTCGTAGCGGCGGGTTTACACTTCCACATCGTGGCCAGAGAGTGCGACAGGAAGCAGAACTATTATAAGAGCCTTGGGCAGAAGTCCGAACGAGAGACTTAACAAAACGAGAAACAGCCACCCACATCGGTATTCGGCCGACAAACAGTGCATCCGAGGCAAGCACGTCTCACCGTTTTGGGGCTGCTCGGACGGCGCGCCTCACATAGCCTGCAGCATCGGCTAGCCCGAAAGGTCAGGGCCCTGGAAGTTAGACTGCACAAAAGCCCCGATACACAAGAATATCCTGAACGTGGTGTTTGGTGGCTAGACTGAGCACGACTCGAGACCCGAAAGTTCGGCGATGCGACAATCTGGAGGTTCCCGAGTCTCCCAATGCCCGGCTTTGCATAAGGCAACGACTTCGACATTTTTTCTAGCTGAAGCAATTTCGAGCATGGCATCAGCGAGGCGCTCGCAACGGTCGGCCAGCGTGCGGCGAGCAGCTGCAAGAAAAAAGAAAACCCTACTTTGCAGTCAGCGGCACTCGAATTACCAGCCCTGCGCCTCGGCAGATTCCTGAAGTCTCTATGTGGCCCGAAGTAGCTCAGACGCGAGCGCTGCCGGACTCGCCAAGAGAATCGTAGCCGCTGCCTGCTGGAGACGTTTCCAGCCCCAGTGGATCGAAATTTGGGTAAGTAAGGCTATGGCGGCAATGAGAGACTAGACGTCAACATGACTTGTGACGCACTTCTGCCTTGAACATATCAGTCGAAGCATGGATATCCAGGCATGAAACGAGAGGCACGCACGAGACATGCATCGGTGGTTGAAGTATCAAAATGTGGGACTGAGGGCTTCTTGTTTCTAGCTGGGTACCTCAACACATTCCGGGAGATCTTGTTCCCAAATTCGAGAAGCTAGCAAAAAATGCCATCTGCAAATACGTCATTGGCAAAGATCTGCTCAATTCCCATGAGTTTGGACGCAGGGTTGGGATAAGTTCAATTCGCTACTGTAGTGACCTAGAGCCTGGGGCATTCGCTGGGTGTCGTTCCTTCGCTCGGCCATGGGCACATCATGCCACAAGCTGGGAAATGCGGGCGAGCCACAGAGCGATGGACACGGCCTTGGTGGCTGGGACCTGGTTTTGAGGGCTTGTTGAGGGCTTGTAAGTGCCTGGGAGCTGTGGCACCACCACTCTCTAGGCCGTACATTGGCATCGGAGTCGACTGTTGTCCAATAGTCCATTGTCTATGATCATAGTTTTCCTGGGACGGTGCGGAACCTGAAACCTTTGCAGGCCCCCGATGTTCTAAGTGGTGACACCGACTCTCATACTGGCCAGGTTCCTTGCCAAGAGTGGACACTTAAATGTTGCTTCTACAAGTGTCCACACGTCGCGCACCCTGATGGCCCTGAAATTTCGGGGCTTTTCCGATTCGGTCGGCACACTTGAACCACATCGTTGGGCCTGTGATAGTCCGGGCGGCAGGGGCAGAGGAGCATGGTAAATCTCAGCGGAACTGACTAGTTCAGTTCTGAGTGTTGATCGTTCGGCTTCCGCAGGTATCGAGCAACACCAGCATGACAGCGACGAGGCAGCAGATGCAGCGCCTTGGCCAGAAGATGAGAAGGTGAACGTGCTTGCACGCCGGAGGAGTTGCCATCTGGCTTCCAGGTTTGCCGTAAGCTTGTAAGTAAAGATTCGGCGTTGCTGTAGGCTGCCGGAACATGGGCGGTTTGCCGCCACCGAAGACTGTTTCTCCATGCTTAGGAGTAGCTGCCCCGACGCCACGACCTTCTCCTCAATCTCGGCAACCCGCCAAAGGCCGCCGAATCACTGGAGCTCCCAACTTCCAAGCGCATGCGCTGAGCGTTGCCTTATAATGTGCCGGTCGGTTTAGGAATATGGGCTTTTTTAATGCGTTTTTTCCGGGGCTAATTCCGACCGGTCGCCCCAAATTGGGGGTGGTCTAATTTTAACGCTACGCCGCCCGCCTCGGCTGTGTAGCGGCAGGGCGAGGGGGCAGTCGATGTTTTTTTATGCTAGGGCGGCCTGTCAAACCCCAACCTTTGCACGGTTGTTGATACGAAGTGCGAGGAGAATGGATAGGGGAGGGGGGGGAGGGGGGGGGGGGGGGGGGGGGTGAAACCATAAACCTCTAAAGGGGTAGCTCTAACAGGTACCTACAGCAATGGCTGCATGCTCATACATATACATTCCGCTGCCCATTGGCTCACAGTGGTTTTACCATATTGAGACAAGACAAGCTCTCCTTGCGTAGCAAGACAAAACAACTACTGTCCGTGTGCAGGGCGCTGCCCTTTGATCCTTAGGGAATAACTGGTCATACACCTCCTCACAAGGAGTATCCCTTGGGGGTGTATCGGCACAGTTTTCTGGTAGCGGAGCCCGGAAAGGGCCGCCCGCCTCACAAAGTCCGCTACAGCGGTCGGCCTCGCCGAACGCTTAACCAAGCGGATAAGAGGCAGCACAATGTCGAGCTCGCATAGCGAAGCCGACGGCAGTTCCCAATCCTCCGGGGGATATGAGAACGAAGAGACCTCCCAAGGTCCAGCTACTTATGTCGCACAGTCATATGCAACATCTGACCGCATGCTTGCATCATTAGGCATAACGCCCAAGATCGCGCCTGCCTATGATGGCACCACCTCGTGGTTTGAGTATGAACAGTTGATTGACGACTGGTGCGACATAACAACGCTGGATGACACCAAAAGAGGTCCGTCTCTCAAGACGAGGCTCTCCGGATTGGCCGCAGTACAAAAAGAATCACTTAACCGAGAAAGGCTTGCAGCCCCAGATGGAGTAGATTACTTCAAGAAGAAGATGCGTCCATTTTTCGTGAAAGGAGAACAGTACGTTTTCCTGTGGCGTTTCCTCGGCCTATTCAAGGCATGGAAGGGCAACCAAGACTTTGTGACTTGGATTGCTAAGTTTGAGATCGTGCTACAGCGCGTGAAAAACTCATGGATGGATCTCTTACCAGAGATAGCTCTGGAAGATGCCCATCCAGATTTCATGCAGGCTGTGCAGGCAGATCAAACCTTCTTGCGCCTACAGGATGCAACCGAGAGAGACACATACGCCGCACGTTTCTTCGAAACATGGAACAAGGAACGCCTTGATAATCATCGAAGAGCGTTTCCTCTAAATGATAATCTCCTAGCTCTCCTCTTCCTAGTGCAGTCCGACCTAAATGAGATGCAACGTGAGAGGTTGGTAACAGCATTGACCAACCAAGGTCACCGAATTGAGACCTATACGTACCCTGTGGTACGGCAGACCATGTTCGATCAGTTCTCAACGACCAGAACTGGTCTGCAGGATCCCAATATTCGGCACTCTTCTCACAAGAAGGACCGCCATGGAAGGAGAGATCAACGCCGCAAACGCGGAGGTCGAAACTTCCTCATCCTCGATCAGGGTGAATACGACGGAGTCGATGGATTCTGGCTCCAAGACGAAGACACCCTTGAGGAAGGCTTTCTTGCCGCCGAGGATGAAGAAGCTGTCTTCTGGACAGTTGACGACCATGAAGCCTTCGTTGCAAGGAGATTCAAAAAGGGAAGAAGACCAAGAATGCGTCCCGGATCACCGGGAAGAGCAAAGGGTGGCAAGCGAAAAGGACGTGGCCGTTTTAGGTCATACCGCGGAAAAGGGAGAGCCAACCAGGCAGAACATGATCCAACTGATTCCAGCTATTTCGGTAAAGGTAAAGGAAAGGAAAAAGGAAAGGGTGGAAAAGGCAAAGGAAAAGGAAAGGACAAAGGAGATAAAGGAAGCTCCTTCAAAGGTACAAAGGCAAAAGGCAAAGGTAAGGATACAGCTAAGTCTGCCTCCTTACAAGGAGACCAAACTGGATCTCCACAGGCCTATGAAAGTTCCACCGCACCGAGCTGGGATTCATGGTATGAGGACAGTTATTATACTGACTCCAGTTGGAATTATGCCGCTTATGACGATCAAACGTCTTATACATACTATGCATCACAAGCCTCACGAAGAAAGACACGGAGAAAGAAGAGAAGAAATCAAGCAGGATCATCAGGTAGAGGCACAGATCCGAGCGCGCACCAAGAACCCGTGTACAACTCATCAGTGAGTTACGTGCCCCAGGTCTCTGAACCATCCGAGGGGCAAGGTGTGGAGACTGCAACAGCAGTGTTTCCGTTGCAGCACACCGTCCTATCTGCTCTCACAGAGCGGATCAATCTTGATAAGAGCCCTACCTTTGTCATACTTGACTCAGGTTGTACTAGGGCTATGGGTTCCCGCTATGCGGTGAACAGGCTTATCAAGGCCGTGAAGCAACATGCCCCAGGCATGATTGATTTCACTTTCTCACCTTCGAACACGAAGTTCTCTTTCGCAGATAGTGAAACAGCTCTTATCAAGGAGCGTGTAACTCTATGGTTCAACACAACTCCAAGAAGAGATACAACCATAGAAGTTTTGGATCAGGGAAGAGTCCCCATTTTGTTTTCCATCGAACAGATGAGGAATTTAAGAATGACCCTCGAGTGTAGTCCCACAGCTGACCTAGCAACGTGTGAAGCTTTCGGTTTGTATAAAACCCCTCTTCCGATTAGTACCAATAACCATTTGGTATTGGACCTTCTAGGCTTCACTTCCACCAGGAAGTATCTCCCTAAGTCAGGTACGTCGTTCAGTGCGACGGAGACTGCTCTAGGAGCCAATAAGCCTTATACTAGGATACCGGAAGGTCGCTGTCCAGCCTGTGCCGGACAGAAAAGGGCTCACACGTACCTCAAGGGTTGTGACAAAGCACCTGAGGGAGCAGCTGATCCACCACCGAAGAGGATTTCAGGTAAAAAGAAGCCTCTTCCATCTGATCCGGCAGAATCATCTGCCAAGAAACTTGATCCACCAGAACCATCTGGTGATGTTCCTGAGCCTTCCGGACCATCGGAACCATCATCAGGCTCTAGGGACAAACCTGCAGAATCCTCTGCACCACATGAACCTCCAGAAGAAGAAAGACTTGAGGTCCCACCTGCGAAGATAAAGACTCCAAAGGGTCTTAAAAACCTTCTGAAGAAATCCCGCAAATATGCGGTTAAACCTCCTGTTGAAGAGAAGTCTAAGGTCCCAGGAGCTGATGACGGGACGGAGGTAAGACCACTTGAGTCAAGAGAATACCCGGCTCCTGGTACAGACTCACCTACAGGTGAAGAGATTGTCGCGGAACCATCGCCATC